AGGTCTCACCATTCCCAATGTTAAGTTGTACTATAGAGCTATGGTAATAAAAACTGCATAAAAAAAGAAGACTTCTCAGCCATATAGAGGAGTAAAGGGAAACCCCCAGTCGTTAAAGGCCTGTTGCACTGATTGGTCGATGGTTCCTTGGTTATTTTTTGTGGTAGTGATAAAACACCACAACCGAAATGACTTATGGGAGGAAGGGCTGACTTTGGTGGCTTACAGTTCCAGAAAAGGGGCCTATAACAGTGGAGGGGAGGCATGGCAGCAGGCAGCTGGAGCAAGAAGCTGAGAGATCATACCCTCCACTGCCAACACAAAGTGGGTAGCAAACTGAAAATGGGGTGAGCATGTAAACTTTCAAATTCTGCCCACAATGATCTGCTCCCACTAGCAAGGCTCTACTTTTAAAAGTCCACAACCTTCCCAAACGGTGCCACCAATCAGGGACCAGGTTTTGAAATGTGAGCAATATGGGAGACACTGTTCATTCAACCACTACAGATAGACCTGTTTCTTTAGAAATGTCTGCAAAAAAAAAAAAAAAAGTGTGTGTGTATGGGAAAAGACCCAACCTCAGATACACTAAAAATATAGAAATATACTTCAATTCATTAACTAGCAACTTGGACTCAGAAAATGAAATATAACTTTAGACATATCCATATATAAATTCAGGAAAATATGTCACATATATGTATATGAATGTCTACAATGAAGCCAGTAAGATTTAATTAAAGCTGCGCATAATGGTTGAACAGATTGCCCTTGGTCTCCTGGTATGAACAGTATTTACTAAGACACTATGACCTGCCACAACAGAAAATATCCAAAACTTTTACTAGGAAAAGTTTGTTTCTCACTAGCTAGAAGTCCAAAATGGGTTTTCTCACGTTTCTTCCTTCTGAGTAGAGAGAGGGATCCAGCTCTCTTCATTTTGCAGCTGCCCTGCATTCACCATTAGGTTTCAGGGTCACCATGCTCATGTGTGCTGAGCCTGTGTGTGTGGAGAAACACGGGCTTATGTGTAGGAGGTTCACAGTGCTCAGGTCTGCATGTGGGGTATGTTGTTTTTGCCCACCACTCCAAGGCTAGAACTCACTTTCAGGACCACATGAAACTGCAGTCAGTTTAGGAATAGAGCCTAGCTGAGCTGGGCATGGTGGTGCTCATCCTTGATCTCAGCACTCATGGAGTGGAGGCAGGTTGATCTCTGTGAGCTTCAGGCTAACAGTAGAGATCCTCTCCTTATTGACTTCATAGACCTCAGCAAAACAACAACTGCAACAACAACAACAACAACAAAAGATACACGTTGGGGCTGGGGCTATCCCTGAGCTGCAGATGACTTGCCTAGCACTCACAAAGTCCCAGGCTCAGTCCCCAGTACTGAAACAGACTAGGCTGGTGATGGAGGAGTGTTATCTGTCTATCTGTTGCTTTCATTGGTTAATTAATAAAGAAAACTGCTTGGCATGATAGGTTAGAACAGAGGTGGGTGGAGTAGACAGAACAGAATGTTGGGAAGAAGGGAAGTGAGTTAGTCGCCATGATTTTCCAACTCAAGATGGGTGTAGGCTAGAATCCTTCCTGGTAAGCCACCACCTCGTGGTGCTACACTCATTAATAGATATGGGTTAATCAAGATGTGAGAGTTAGCCAATAATAGACTAGAACTAATGGGCCAGGCAGTATTTAAAAGAATACAGTTTCCATGTAATTATTTCAGGTAAAGCTAGCTGGCGGCCGGGAGCAGGGTGGTGGGAAGCAGCCTGCCACTCCATCAATGGGTTGATTCTGCCTACTCTCTCTCTCTCCATCTCTGTTCTGATTTTCCCAACTTGCTCTATTCTGCCCCGTCATAGTCCCAAGCATCTTCTTTATTCATTAACCAATAAAAGCAACACACATACAGAAGGACTTCCCACACCACTTAAGGACAATGCAAGTGGTTTTTGCGGTGATTGGTATTCCATCTGTGAACTGACGTCACTCCTCAGTTTTACGCTAGGCATTCATCTTGGTGCTCACCAGCCTTTTGTTTCTGACTCCAGTTCCTGGAAGATAAGTTCCCAGTATCCCTGACTCAGTAACCCCTCTCACACCTGAGAATATACAGCCATGATTATCTACTTGTTATGTTATGACTAACTGCTTTTATTTTGCTTCTGTAATGTGCTTACGCAGATACCCAGAGGTTGTTTTGAGTCACTTTAACACTTAAACTTGGCAGAACAGAGCAGTTTTTGCTTGCTTGTGTAGATGGTGAAGGTCTTCTTGTGGTTTTCGCCTTTAAAAAACCTTTCCATATCCCCTTCCTTCATGGCAATCTCAAATCTGGCTCAGAGATCGTTCATCCTGCTAGCCGTCAATCAATAAATCTTTTAATTATAATGAGATTGAGTTTATGATCTTTTTCCAATGGCTCACAAACTTCATAACAGTAAGGATCCCTTATTGTACATTGCATAGCTTATCTCAGGGCCCCCAGAACTTAAACTTCCTCACTTTCATGGCATGTCCTTTTCTGCACCAGATCCATGTCTCTCGTCACAACCTGCAGAGATCCGACCGATTGCTAGGAGACTATTCTGAGGAAAGCTCCCGTTTCTGCATGACTGTGTCTCAGGGTATTTCCTGCTCTGCCAGATTCTTGATCACTGTGCATCTCACGTGTGAGGGCAGAGCGTGGTCAGACCCTCACACGTTGCTATGGAGACCATCACTGTTTTCTGAATGCTTGGTTCAGAAAATGGTTCGGACATAGCTTCGACATCTGCCCCAGGGTCTCTTTGATGCCCCACTGCCCTCCACTGGTTAGTCAAATCCCAGTGGCAGGCCTAGATTCCCACCTACCAGTATCACTGGCTGACCAGACTTCCCAGGCTGGTCTCTGGATCTGATTACAGAAAAAGGTGGAACTGCCCTAGGTAAATAACAGGTGCCCTTTTGTCCCTTCAGGTCGAGCCTGGGTTGGGCTTGGAATGAAAATACTTTGAATGTCTTTGTGAAAAACAATTAGTGCCTTCCTGAGTGCAAGTCTGGCTGCAGTCTGAGTCTCAGGAAAATCAGTTGTAGGGAGCACAAGTTTAAAAAGTAAAATAATGGAGAAATGGATGAAAAATAGGAAGAAATCAAAACCCTCCAAATGAGAGACGCAACAACCTGAAGAGTAACATTAGAGAGAGGGACTAGAGGGCCGCTCAGTGGGTAATGTGCTCGCTGTAAAAGCGTAATGGCGTGAGCTAGGAAGTCCAGATGTGCATGGTGCAGTGCAGATGCCCAGATACACACCGGGGAACATGTCTGCAACCCCAGCGCTGAGGAGGGTTGAGGGGAGACAGAGACTAGCAGACTGAGGAGCTGGATGGCCGGCTAGTCTAGCTGAAAGAGCAAGCTCCAGGTTCAGTAGGAAACCTTAGTTTAAAAATAATAATAATGAAAATGAACCAAGAAAACAAAACAAAAATGGAAACAACAGCAACAGGAAGTAAAGTGGAGATCCACAGAGGAAGACATCCAGCTTCAACGGCTGGCTTTCACATGCACACAGCACACACGGGTGCATATGACCCCACACATAGGGGCACATGTATGTACATATGGCACAGGGCACACACATAGGAAAGATCTGACCAACAGTGGATAAAATGGGGTCTGTATGCAATGAGTGTGAGAAATGAGTTCTGTTTGAAACCGTGTTTCGGCCAAATGCGTGAAGGCATGAATTAATTTTAAAAAAAAACCACAAAACCACATCTTGTGGTTTATTTTGCCCACCATTTGTTTTAAGGTAGGTGTTTTTGGATTAGCAAAGCAGTCAGTATGAGAACACAATTACCGAACCTGAAAAAGGACATTGTGTGATTGAAGGAACTCAAGGGCTGATTGCAAATCCCAGGATAATAAATGAAAATAGCATTATTCCCTGAAACCTATAGGAAGTAAATTTGATTTAAAAACTCATCTGATGTATGTGTAACCATCATCCGCAAATACAATAACTAGAACAAAGTGACTGGGCGAACTCTCCTTACTCTCCTGATATCTTGGGACACCATACATACTTTTTTATAGCAGGCCTGCAATTAAATAATGTGATTTCAAAGAACTTAATATTGTTTATTTTATTGAACAATGGAGACAAGTCTCTCCTTCCGGAGTCATTTAATGTAAAAAATCAATGTCAAGGTCTGAGTCTCTAAGTATTAAGAGCATGGTTTTTAGCTTGCGTCACCTTTTGCCTGTGGGAGAGCATTTTAATATCACTTTTAGGTAAAGGACAGATGGGAACAGATTGATCATCCAAAACAATCCATGGAGACAAATATCACATTATAAACCATTCATAGGCGGGGCACTGAAGAAACAGGGACTTGGATTCACCTCTCTCGTTCCAGCGTGAGCCAGAGAGGGCGTCTTTTTTATTGACAGGAAAACCTGGAAAAGTATGTAGAGTTTTTTGTACCTTTCCTGGACCTTAAGTCAGGTGTGGTGGTGCATGCTGGTATCCTAGCTCGCACTCAGGAAACAGAGGCAGGAGGACCACCACAAGTGTGAGGGCAGCCTTGCCTACCTAACAAGTCCTGGCTATCCAGGGCCACAAATAGAGAACCTGTCTCAGAACATAATGAACATTTCCCAGGTACCAATAACAGAGGGTTTTTTTTTTTTCTGCTACTTTCGTACATTTTCATCTGCTTAGTTAAAGATTATCCAACAAAGGATCGAAAGCTTATCAGAAGTGAGGGACTTAAGTGTTCTGACCTAGTATTTTCCCCTCTGTATTAACTCTCTCCTCATTCTTGTAACACACAAGCCATCCCTATAGAGGGCTGGGAAGTTGAGGTTTGAGACAAAGCAAACTTGAATAACAAAGAAGAGTAAATGAATCATTTTTCAAACATAATTGCCAGATAAAAGTAGTGATGTGCTAGCATTGTGTCGCAGATTCTGTGATGTAGAAGGGCCCCGACTTATCAAACACCAAGCTGACCTGAAGGTGGGGTTGACAGATGAATTACCTGGCCCAGATCAAAGCGTTTCACTGCAAAGGGGACCTTGTCACATCCATCCCTTCAATCGCTCGCTTCCTGAAAGTGAACCAGAAGGCATCCTGCTGCCCTCACCTTCTGAACTGAACCTTCTCTGTAACTCCTTTGTCCCGGGCTCCAGTCCTCCGTGATTCCCAGTACTCGGTATTGGTTCTTCTTTCATGACGGGGATGAAAAAGTTGCTAACTGTTTCTTTTTTTTCTTCTTCTTCTTCTTGATCTCTGCTCTATTTAAGCAAGCAGAATGCATGACTATTTCAGCCTGGAATTTGGGGGTAAATTTCATTTAGATGGTGGGCGTCTCTCTTCTACTCCTTTTCTCTGTTTCCACTTGGCATTGTTTTTATTAACATGTTAACTATCAGCCTATTGGCAGCATAGGGGTGCCAGCTGACCCCGATTCAAGGGGTTGTACTTGGCGTATACCGAAATAACACATCCCTTGAGCCTTTCTCTTTGGCCGAATTGACATTTTTTGGATAATTACCATTGTTTTTCAAAGTAAATGGGATATCTTTGTGCACCAACAGGGCCGTGGGTGGGAGGAGTCCAACAAGGATGAGAAGCGGGGCTGGGTTTGTGAGCCCAAGGAGGTGAGGGCTGAAGGTCACCAAGTCACAGAAGTATCGTGTTGAAATGGCTGATTTGCCAGGCCATATCAATGAGAAAGCTCAGCTTTAGGTTTAGGTGCTAATGTAAGTCACTCTGTCTTGTATGCGTGCTCATCTGCCTGCTCCTGCTGAGACCAGCAGACAGGCAGGGTTGGGTCTGCTACTTTTGTTTTCTATTTTGGAACCCTTCCATCCCTGTAGCCTTTCTTTCTCCCCACTATTGCTAGTTTTTCTAACTTTTTTTTTCTTTTTGAAAGGTACACCCCTTTTACAACGACTCAAGTACTCTTTTGAGACATCTTCTGGGTCTCCAGGGGGGGGAAAAATCATACTTCCTGGTCCAACAAATATCAAAAATGTGGGTCCCTCCCACCCTGCCTCTCCATTGTCCTGACTCTAGATGCCATCACCATAGAACTTGCCCCAGCCTCTGGCCTTAATAATTCTCCAAGTAGGAAATAGTCCCCTTCTTAATGTCTCGCATGATTCTAAACTCCAGGCCTGCACCTGAGGTTCTTCTGTGAACTCACGTGATGTCATGCTCTGGGCTCATGGGGACCCTGCGGTCCAGGTCTCTTATCTGAGAAACCACCTGGCTGAAGATGAAGACGCTGTGCACTCCACATGCCCAACGTCTGGTCTCTGGGGAGTTCTCTCGTGGGCACCCACTGGAGAGTACACTAAACCCTCTTGGTCTGCCCCACAGTCCAGAACGCCCACTCCTCCGTCCTTTGTGTGTGTGTGTGTGGGGGGGGGGGTGACGTGAGCAGAAAGATCTAGTTCTGCTCTTTACACATCGGTCATCCATTTAACACACTGTCGAGACTTTTCCAGGGCCTCTAACAAAGCCAGAAGGAAAAAATGGAATTGACTCTTTCCCAAACTTCTAAGGCACCTTGTGGGGACTTCTTGAAGCCATTGTGGGGGCTGTGGAAGATGGATTGGCATTACTCTGCCAGGGTCAAGATGACAAGAGCCGAGGTTCCGCATAGGAGTTCTAACGGACGCAGGTCAGTCCACAGTAAGAGGAAAAGGTTGCGGCTGGGGTTAGCCGGCAGTCCGGGCACAGGAATCCTAGAGAATGCACGTTCATGCCCGTACCTGATGGCTCCCTAGTGTAGGTGTGGTTCATAGAGTGGAATGAGTCAGTAAAATTCAAAGTCTGGTGCCAACTTGGGGCTTTTTAAATCCCCCATCCTGTGAGATTTCAGAGACATACTGATTCGCTTTCCCAAGCAGCAAATCAGTCTCTTGGGCTTGTAACTAACATTTCTCTCTTTAAGTGACATAAGAAGGACTTTACAAGTCCCCCTAGCTTCAACCCTGCATTGGTAAATTAGAAAGAGCGACTTCGGTGTCTATCCTACTCAAATTGAGCAGAAAATTGAGTAATTACTTGTTTGCTTAATTTACACAAACAATTATCTTAACAGTCCACTTTGTTTTGGTTTTGTGAATCCAATTCCTGTCTGGCTTCAAGAGGATGTCTGTTTAGGTTCAGACCATTTGGAAGAGGCTTTTTTGATGGGGCAGTATTGATTTAGCTCTTTTGCTATCAAAACACTGATGTATTTTAAAAGACCCAGGGTAAAAACATATTCTATCAGACTTACAGCTTTAAAAAATTTTGTTAGGGGCCAGTAAGTTGGCTTAGCAGGTAAAGGTGTCTACAGTCAAGCTTGATGATATGAGTTCAAGGCTCAGAATCCTCAAGGCAGAAAGCTAGACCCAGCCCCTACAAGCTGTCTTCTGACCGTCACTCGTGTGTCGTGGAACTTGTGGGCACATGTGTGCACAAACCACATATACACACAAAATAAATACATGTGAAAAAATTAAAATTATGTTATATGTAGACTAGCTAATCCCATCCTTATTCTCACATTCTTCCCATTTATAAAGTGAAATTTTTCTTTAAAGATAGCAAGAAAAATTTTTGAACATCAAAACTTAGGAGGTTTGAAAGAGTAAGGATGTAGGAAAAAAAATCCCAAGAATAAACCACCTCAATTATTAATAATTTTGGAATTCTTTGTATTTATTCTCCGTGTCTTTCATATCATGCATCTCAATTCCATTAATTTCCTAGCCCTTCAGATCCACCCTCTGCCCTTGCAAGTGCCCCCCAATAAAATAAAATAAAATAAAATTTAAGAGAGAAAAAGGAGAAAAGGAAGACTTTTGTCATGGAAGCTGCAATGTGACACAGCGTGTCACACTGTAAACTCATTTATCTATGTATCTTTACTTGCAAGTGTTCACTGCAAAGAGTCTGGTTCGAGGCCTCTGGTTTCTGCTACACTATCAATGCTGGGTCCTCACTAAGACTCCTCTTGGATATCCTGTTGCTGCCCTGTGTTATGGACATCTGGCAGCTTTGGGTCTACAGGACTGGGTCTTCATGCGCTCCAGCAAGTCATAGATAGGGTGGATGTTGGGGTGAATCAACTCATAACCTTGGTTCTGAGCCTGGGCTGTTAGTTTCAGGGTTGGTCAGCCCACCAGCTCTCCCTTGTCCTCCCTGGTCCTCACCACCAGGGTGAGCTCTCCAGCACTCTCCTGGCTAGTTCACCCCTTGCCATGATGAACAAGCAGAGGGGTCAGTTCTGCTTTCACACCCCCAGGGGCTACTCTCCCAAAGCTACACCTTCAGGGTCAACTCTACTGAAATCACCTTGATTATAATGCTATTTTCTTATCATCCTCATCGGTGTAAATTTTGGGGGATAGCTCTGGTGGTTTTTGTGGGATATTGCTGGGTAATATGATTACCTAAGCCTGATTACTGTATATCAATACCTAAATTATTAAAATATATAGAATATTTCTATATATATTAATAAATATTTCAGAAGATAAAGCACAATGATGTGTCTAATGCACATGCACATGAAATATGTAACTATATCAGAACCAAAGTACAATGTTGCTGAATATTTGTTTCACTATGCAGAGATGTATTGTATTTGTTTAATTATGTAAATATGTGTTGTTGTTTTTACCTTGACTGCCTAAGGCACTTGATTGGTCTAAGAAAAAGTTAAACAGCCAATAGTGAGGGAGGAGGTATAGGTGGAACTTCTGGCCAAGGACAGTAAGTAGCAGGAGGAATTTAGGCTCAGGAAAGAAAGAAAAGGAGACAGCAGGGAGATGCCAGGGGCCAGCCAGCCAGATGCAGATGAGGCAGGAAAGACAGACAGACAGAAGGAATGAAAGGTAAAAAGCCCCATGGTAAAATGTAAATGAATAGAAGCAGGTTAAATTAAGTTAAAAGAGCTAGTGGGTCAACCTTCATAATTAATAAGTCTGTGTGTCTTTATTTAGGAAGCTGGTTGGTGGCCCAAAGAAAATTCCAACTACAGTCCAGTGCTCTACTGAAGAGCTGAATTCCCCTGACCTCCTGACCTCTCATCTGCTACAGACTCCTCTGAATTATCTACTTCTCTTAGGGACCCATTGGGGTCTCCTCTGATGTCTCCAGACCTTCCCTTTTATTGCCATTTACTTACTGTTCATTTGCCATTTTAGAAGAAACTTATTTCCCACCACACTCCCAAATGAATATGAAGTGGGCTTGTTCCATTTCTTGAGAGCAGTAACCTTTTCTTTCTTTTTCTTTAATGGCTGGGCTATACAGATGTCCCATCTCCACTGAATGTCTCCTCTATAACTCCAACATTGAATGTTCAAAAAACTCAAGTTCACCAACACCAATAGTCTACTTTATTAATGGTGTATTACTTTGCAGTAATTTACATAATGGTAGCATGAAATGTAGATTTACATCAGAGGTAAAGTAAGAGAGATATCAGAGTAAGCACATTTTAACGTTAGGTAAAGAATGCTATCAATGTTATTTTGCAGCTAGCATTCAGAGACCAGCATCTGATGACACAGAACACACGCAGACATGTACTCAGAGTACATGTCTGTTCTGGTACCTTGCAGAGGGTCGTCTTGGCTCCCTATCTTGGTAACCAACTGCTCTTGCTCAAGTTGAATGAAGACCCTAATTTAACCATTAAACAAAGTGGAACTGTTTACTAGATACTTCCCCTGTCAGATTTAAATAACCGGAATGAAATGTTCTTTATTAACAAAGCTAAATTGTGTGAGGTCTTCGTTTTAATTGGCTTATAATATACATATTTATGGGGTAAAATGTAGTAACTTGATAAAAGCTTACATTTTGTGATAATCAAATCAGGGCAATTAGCATTTCCATTTCATAAAAATTATGGCTTCTTTTTGTGTGGTCTTTGACTACTCAAACACTTTTTAAACAGGGAAACAAATCGAAAGAAGTCACTTTTTTAATTTGACAAGCAAACACATTTTCCTTAAATCTATGGGTCAATATAGATTGCTGTCTTTTCTGTTTTAATTTTCTTCTCTGTCTGTACTGAAGAGCTGGATTCCCCTAGCCTCCTGGCTTCTCTTCTGCTGCAGACTCCTCAGAATTATCTACTTCTTTTAGAGACCCATTGGTGTGTCCTCTGATGTCTCCAGATCTCCCCCTCTACTCAGATGTCACTTAGAAAGTCTGTCTTTCTCTGTCTCTCTTTTTGTAATTCTAAGTAAATTTATCCATTTTCTGAGTTTTTCTCTAGCAAATTTGATTTATAGACCTTCTTATTTGTTGCTTTATGACCCTTTAGCATTTGCTAAGCATGGTACTTTGACAATTAGACATTTTTGGTATATAAATATATGTATATATATATATATATATTTCTGTTTTTTCTTTTTATTTATTCTTCTCTCATACAATACATCCTTTCTGCAATTTCCCCTCCCTCCACTCATCTCAGCTTCCCACCACCTCCCTTCTTCCCCAGATTCACTGTTCCTCCATTTCCCTTCAGAAAAGAGCAGGCCCCCAGGGATATCAACTCAACACAGCAGAATAAGAAGCAATGAGACCAAGCATAAGCCCTCATATCAAGGCTGAACGTGGCCATCCAGTAGGAGGAAAGGGTCTCAAGAGCAGACTACAGAGTCAGAGACACCCCCACTGTTAGGGATTGCACTAAAACCTGTTGAAATAAGAGCGGCGGGGCTGCGTCCCCAACACCCCGGCCGCTTGGCTAGCTCATGCCCGAAATAACAACACACAAACTGTATTCATTTAAGAACTGCTTGGCCCATGAACTCTAGCCCTTACAGGCTAATTCTCGCACCTGGACTAGCCCATTTCTAATGATGTGTGTAAGCACCCCAAGGTGCGCTTACCGGGAAGATTCTGGCCTAAGTCCATCGTGGGTTGCAGCTGCCTGGGAGAGCAGAGCATGGCGGCTGTCCGGTCCCTCTGGAAGCAGCGCAGAGTCTGACCTCACTTCCTCTTCCGCCCAGAATTCTATTCTGTTTCCTCCTCCCATCTATCTTTTAACCTATCAGGGCCAAGGAGTTCCTTTATTGCTTAACCAATGAAATCAACAGATTGATCTATGACACTCCCACATTAAAAACCCCAAGCTAAACAACACAGCATGTTTGCAGAGGACCAAGTACAGACCCACGCAGGCTCCTCGGTCGCCATGTCAGTCTCTGGGAGTACTCAGTACTTCCTTTCTTTTTTGTTTTATATTTTCAGATTAATTACATGTTTAGGTGCTTTACAAGTTAAATAATATACTTTTCTATTTTTAATTTAAGTTTCCACTGGGATATGAGATATGCAGAAATTTTAATGCACTGTAAAACCAGAATGTTTCCATCTCAGTGTTTATGTGAACACAGTACTCAAGTACCATGAAGCTGTTATTCTGTCTCTTCTAATTTTGAGCCAAATGTTATAAATCATTTTTCTCAGCTAACTTTTTTCTTTTTAAATTTAGTTTTAATTTAGAACCTTACAGCTTTCCCATCTCAAGTGCCCCACCCCAAATTCATGGCCTCTTTTTCTTTATTATTGGTACATGTGTAAGCCAGCTTTTCTTTTTCTCTTCCTTCCTTCCTTCCTTCCTTCCTTCCTTCCTTCCTTCCTTCCTTCCTTCCTCCCTCCCTCCCTCCCTCCCTCCCTCCCTCCCTCTCTCTCTCTCTCTCTCTCTCTCTCTCTCTCTCTCTCTCTCTTTCTTTCTCTCTTTTCTTTTTTTTCTTTTAGTTTTTCAAAACAAGGCTTCTGTGTAGCTTTGGAGCCTGTCCTGGAACTAGCTCTTATAGACCAGGCTGACCTCGAGTTCACAGAGATCTGCCTGCCTCTGCCTCCCGAGTGCTGGAATAAAAGCCATGCATCACCACTGCCCAGCAGCTAATTTTTCTTAATCTATCAAATGAAGAACGTCCTTGACACATGTTCATTTTCATGGGGTCTCTTCTAGGAGCTGGCAGAAAACAATAGGCATAAAATAATGAAATTTGAGTGAGCCAGTTGGTGGAACTAGTCTGTATGAGGTGGTTAAAGGAGACCTGCTTCCTCCTCAGAGGCTCTGTGCGAGTGTACTGTCTACACCCTAAGCTGGTGCTCTCATTTTCAGTTCTGAGCCAGGGTAGGAAGTTCAAATTTGGCTGAGGGGGAGGAGCGTTAACCGGAAGGAGAGCTGAGAAGAAATACTAAGTGAAGATTTCAGGGAACCGGAACTTGGAAGCTAGTAGTTTCTGAGAAAAGTTGGTTGAGTCAAAAAGAGTCTAAGGAAGGGAGGGGTGGGTGCCACAACTTGCGCTGAAATGGGTCTCCTATTGGATGACTTCTGACACTTGCCATCTCTCCACCTCCTTTTGCCTGGAGAGGAGTGCAGAGGGGGTATACTGTATGTTATGTAATTTATTAGGCATTTTGTATCCATTGTTTTATTTAATTATATATAAAAACAAGCCCTCTGGATAGAACTGCTCATAAATTTTTATAGACTCCTGAGTACGTGTGTATATAAAATATTTTATAATACATTATTTAATGATGTATCACCCTCTAAATGACACATTTGAAGAGATACTGTTCTTTTCAATCCCTGGGCATTTTCTGCTTATATCTACTTGCTCTAATTTTTATTAGTTAAATACACATAACAAAACTATACTCCTAGCCGTACTTCAGGGTACGGCGTAGTCACACTGCCTACAACCACTGCTCTCTACTTCCAGAAATCTTTTCAACTTGCAAAACAGAGAAGCTATCTATATCCATGAAACAAACTTCCCATACCTGTGTCACACGTTTACAGAATTTAATTTTCACTTCGCCTTCACAGTCCAGGTATGGTTAGTAATAAGGTAGTGCCCACGGATGGCAACCAGGTGGGTATTTACACTCCAGGCATTTACTCAGTACTTCGAGAATATCCGCTCACCTAATTATTCAGCCTGCGTGTGCTTTGCACGTGGGGGAGATATGTTTGTGGAACGAATTTTGGTTACCATTTAAACATTTCCCAGTAACTCTTGTCATTCTGGATGGAATGTTACCAGACAGGTCCCCTGGGGCAAAAAAAAAAAATCTAACACTAGGTTTTAAAAAACTCTTCCTTTTTAGCCACTTTTAGACAGGGACGCCGAGGGAACTTTTTTCTAAATGATCAAGAACATAGGAAGTGACTCAACTCAGTTAAGACCTTCTTTTCCCTGGGAACTAGTGGTCAGCTCCAAAAGACACCAGAAGATGATTCTAGGGGACACTTTAGGACTCGCACACCCCGAGCAGAAGGCCAAGGGGCGTGGCCACGAGTGGGCGTTACCAGGGGGCGTGGTCCTACAGCGACAGGGCGTGGCCGGCCGGCCGGGGAGGGGTGCGCGCCGGCAGCGGGCGCGATGGCGGCGGACGGGGACTGGCAGGATTTCTACGAGTTCCAGGAGCCGGCCCGGAGCGTCCAGGACCAGGAGAACTGTAACGCGAGCCCTGAGGCCGAAGCTGGGGCACCCGCGGGCGGCGACAGCTTCCCGGCCTTGGCCTGCAGCCTGGAGGAGAAGCTGAGCCTGTGCTTCCGCCCCTCGGAGGACGCCGAGCCCCCGCGGACGACCGTGCGGCCCATCACGGAGCGCAGCCTCCGGCAAGGCGACGAGTGAGTGCGGGCCGGGGATCGGGCGGGAGCAGCCCCCACCTCGCCCTGCCCCCGCCGCCACCGGGAGTCCGAGCAGGCCCCGCCCCACGCCCTCCTTCCTCCTTTGGCAGCTCCCAGCCCCGCCCCGAGCTGCTGGCCTGGCCGGCTGGAGTTTAAAAGCCCTTTGCCTTCCCTTGAACCCTCCTGCAGACCCCTGTGTGCTGCCTCCTGGGGCAGGGGCGGGTCATTCGTTCATTCAACTCGCTTCTGTTAAAGCCCCTGCCAAGTACTTGGCACTGGGCATGACCAAAGTGTGCATTGCTCCTTCCAAGTAGGACACCAAGTGGGATGGGACATAGGTCTGTTAAATGGATGTTTTATGGATGTGATGAGTGCTTTGATAGATATTTGTACCGGATATAGGAGAATTATTTCAAAGGGGATGTCCGAATGAAGACTTCATAGGGCAAGCAGCCCGCAAATTAAATCCTGATGGAGTCAGGTGCAAAGTTGCAGGGGTGTGAGGTACCATTGATGACAGAGAAGTCTGTTAGGACCACAAGAGCAAACTGCCACAGAAGCAAAAATGAAGGGCGGCAGTTACTAATGTCAAGGATCCGACAGTGTATTGGGAAGACTAGTTAGTGCACGGCAGGCAATGGCTACAGAATCTTTTATGTGACTACTTTATGAGAACGTTCACAAGGGTTGACGAGAGCACTTTATTTAAACACTTAAACTCCAGTCATTGTTTGGTTAAGTGAAAGTTGTGATTATGGACCATGATTTTACCTCATAAGAAAACTAAGAGAATGGTGAGAGCCAGCGCGCTAGAGTGTTTTGTTTGTAGGGAGACCGGAGGCCCTAGGTGCACTGAGTTCTCTCAGAAGGCTTGGGTGGGACCTATTTCCAAACACTGGAGCGGTGAGGGGCTAGAGGTTAGTTAGAAAAAGAAACCTTTTTATTACATTTTATTAATTTTTTTGTGAGTACTTGTGTAAGTGTGGGTGGGTGCAGCAAGGCTCTCCAGTGCGGTGGCACATCCTTGGAGTCAAAGGACCCCTCATGGATGGTGCTTCCTTTTTTCCAACCATGTGGCTCCCCAGCATCATTGGTCTCCGTGGCTGTAGGCGCCTTTACCGGCCAAGCTGTGTGAGAAATTCTCGAATGATGATAGGACTCCTGTTAAGAAAAGAGTTTTACCTGCAAACTTGAAGAAGTCCTTGTTTTTTACTGCTGAGTAGTACTCTAATATGTATATATTCCATACTTTCTTCATCCATTCTTCCGTTGATGGGCATCTAGGTTGTTTCCAGGTTCTGGCTATTACAAACAATGCTGCTATGAACATAGTTGAGCATCTCTTGGGTATATTCCCAAGAGTGTATTGCTGGGTAGAGGGGTAGGTTGATCCCAAATTTCCTGAGAAACCGCCACACTGCTTTCCAAAGTGGTTGCACAAGTTTGCACTCCCACCAGCAGTGGATGAGGGTACCCCTTTCTCCACAACCTCTCCAGCAAAGGCTATCAATGGTGTTTTTTTATTTTAGCCATTCTGACAGGTTTAAGATGGTATCTTAAAGTTGTCTTGATTTGCATTTCCCTGATCGCTAAGGAAGTTGAGCATGACCTTCAGTGTCTTTTGGCCATTTGAATTTCTTCTGTTGAGAGATCTCTGTTCAGCTCAGTGCCCCATTTTATAATTGGGTTGATTAGCCTTTTACGGTCTAGTTTCTTGAGTTCTTTATATATTTTGGAGATCAGACCTTTGTCAGTTGCAGG